CCCCCTTGCCACCACCTCACTTGTTGTTGTTAAACATTCCCTAGACCCCAAAGATGCTTTGGTCAAAAGCATCTGGTTTTAGCTCTCCAATTGAATATTTGCTCCACAGCCCCTGGGCTTAGAGATCAGTTTCTTCTTAGGAGCTTGTAGACTGTTTGGTTGACTTGACTAGTTACAGTCTAATGATACATCCCTTTGGGTTGGTTTTGTTTCTCATCAGGTGACAGCAGATGGTAGTATCAATTGTGCCAATTGTCCAGATGAACAGGAAAGTATTGTAGGGCAGCTAATCTTCTGTGAGGCAGTAGCAGCTCTAAATCTACTTTGCCAAGGAGGAAACTTTGTGTTCAAAATGTTCACTGCATTTGAGCATCGAATGGTTTCTCTGATGTATCTTCTTGCTTGTGTTTTTCAAGAAATACAAGTCATTAAACCAGGTAAGAAAATGTCATTCAACTTAATGGTTAGCATATGGAAGAGATGTACTATGGTGTGTGATACCATCTGTGCCACAGCAAAAGAAGGTGGTAAACTTCTTAATGCCTGTAAGCTGCTGACTTCGGAACTGCTTCAATGGAAAATCCTACCTAGACTCCTAGAACTTAAGAAGATCTATCCTTATCTTGAGCAATCAAAACTTTGAAATAATTTAGGTCTTTCAAAATTACAATTTTTTTTGAAGAGTAAATCATTATTTTATTGTTTTCTTCTCCTAGGTACAAGTAAATCTGGCAATTCAGAAGTATACATTGTATGCCTCCAATTTATTGGAAAACAGCAAATTCCAAGGTGCATTTTGGATGAGCTGAAGAAGGGCTATACCCTAAATTGCCCATCAACCAGCCTCTTTTCTTTACAATCCATTCCTGCCATATTTTTGGAGAGATTGAAAACATGTCAGACATACTTTACGGAACTTCAAATGAAAGCCATTGATCAGAACATTCGACAGTTCCATTGCATGACATCTGCTGAAAGAAAGGTACACAATCAACTTCGTCAGCTTGTGGTGGAACACTTTGTGGAAAGATTCCACTTGCAGCCAATCAGTGAAGAGGAGCATATAGTAATGGGTACTAGGTTAGATGGGACACAGCTCAGCTTCACCAGAGGGTCCACAAATTATGTCCCTTTTGTTGAGACTTTTACTGGTAGACATCAGATGGGAAGCTATAACCAGAGACAAGGAAGTCTTCACCAGAACTGGCTTGACAAAATCAAAGTTGATCATCAGTTGAAATTTTGCCCATCTCATTCAAGAAGTTTAAAAGGTAAGGTGAAGATTTTTTATTTTCTTGGTTGAAGACCCTGTGTATACTTGTCATTCTTGAAGCCATTATCAATAAATCATTGCAATATAGACATTCTCAGAAGAGCACTTCCATTCTAGCTGTGTTGCAAGTTTTTTCCATAACAGAGGAAAGTTTTCTTATTGTAAAATAGGGCAACCATCTAAAATGTCTTGATACTGTTAGACTAATTTTCTAAATTAAAACTATATTATTACCCCTTACCAGAAGCTTATGGCCCTGAACTGGGTCATAAGCTTCTGCCCATACAAATTGCAGAGTCAAGAATCCATTGGCATGTAGAATGCATTCTGTGATTTACCCAGATCTATTCATTTAGGAACACTGGTTGAATAACAGGAAACACAATTCTGTAACTAAGGAATAAATTTTTTTCTCATTTCAGGCTTATTATCTGATAGCCTAACCCTTTAAATTCCTTGTACAGCAATATAAATCAATTGTAGCTTAAGGGGAAAAACAACAACAAATTCTGGAAGTTATCCCCTGGAACTATGTGTGGTTGAGGTCTATTTATTATTTGTTGAATTTCAAAACTGAAAAGTTATTCAGCCCATGACCTACAATTATTTGGCGTGCCACACATGCCTGTCTTTAACACACATGCCTGGCTTTCAAGTAGATTCACCTCTCTGAGGGTGTCTATGAAACAAGTCAGAGAGGAACATAAAGTTTTAATTATATCTTTTATCATCAATTCCTGGGTTTGTTGCAGACCTTTCTCAAGTCAGCAATGGTGTTCCTCTCATTCCGCTTTACCATGATCAAGTTATTTGGTTACCAAGGACAAAGAGTATCTCACCAGAGAGCTGGAAACCTAGGACTGCAGCACGTTTATTGGCCATTTTGAATTCGCGTTTCTGCACCCCTATCTACATTAGCAAGTTGCAAGAGGCGCATCAACAGGCAGCAATTCTGAGAGAAGAAAATGCTGACAATCTCAGAGCCCTTTTAGACAAAGTGAATCCTTCAAACATTGTCAAGATGTCACGTGGAGGGGAAGCAGAGCTGCGAAATCTTGATAATCTTGTTTACTTTTCAGAAATGGCTAAGGGTGAGAATTATGGAATTGTGCTGAATCTTGTCAATGGCCTGTACTTCCTGGTGCAATACCTGCAAGAGAAGAATGCTAGATTCTACTCCATTCAGTTACACAATGGAACACCTCTTGAAACTATTAACGATGAAACAATCTGTAAATCTCAGAGAGTAAACATTGTCTTTGCCAATTTAAGCCATACTGATGAGTTGAGTTCAAAACGAGAGATTGTTTATCTTTGCATAGTTGCTCTGAGGCTTCTAGGGAGTGGAGGAACGTTTGTCCTGAACATCCACCAAACACTGACAAGGTTCAGTGTAGGCATTTTGTTTATAATGCAACAGATGTTTGATAAAGTAGCGATGGTTAAACCAGTGATGTCACATCTTTTCAGGTCACAGAGGTTTCTGGTATGCAAAGGATTTCTCAGTGATGTTCAACATTATGTAACCTATCTTGCACAGGTTTTTGATCAGCTCTCAAATCTGGAGCAGGAGAAATCAGCATTTGATGTTGTTGAGATAGTTCCTATGCATTTTCTCTACAGCGAACAGTTTTACTCATTTGTTAAGAGGACAAATGAGCAATTGGCTCATTTACAACTCAAGGAAATTGTTCAACTGGAAAATTTGTTTCTTAATCCTGATCAATTGCCAACCTCAGAAGAAATTTCTAATCTTGAAAAGGAGGTAACAGCATACTTGAAATAAGTGTGGATTTTAAGTTCTCGTTAAAAACTAGATCTGATCAGGAGTTCTTCAAATTTGAAAAGTGAAAAAGGTGGAAAAGGCAAACCAACTAATACCCTCAGCCCAACATGTAGGTTTGTGTTACAGCGAGAAATAAACTCTTATAAAACATTCTCAAATTACAGCAAAAAGACCTGTCTCTTTTATGAAATGGTTAAATGTATGATTTTTTAAGTAGTTTATCTCTCTCCCATTCAGTCATGAACAGAGCGGACACAGCAGCTAGAACGACACTTCCTCTAGGTACGGGGCATCGGTGTTTATTAGAAACCACAAAAAATTGATCAAAACCGTCAAACCGATACATTTTCGCATCCTAGTTATCAAAACCCTATTCGATCTGATACAGTGGTGACAAGTGGAACACCCAGAGGTTTCGCATCTATTCGAAATTAGTAGAAAGTTACTCCTGTCTGGAACGTTAATTGAGAACGCACTTTGGCACGCGAGATAGTTAAGGGAAATAAGCCACAGAATTAAACGTTTTGGTCATTATTCACGTTAACTTCAACGTTTTTGGTAATTCTAAGAAAATCTATAGTCAGCACAAGTAATGCAGAAGTTACGCGCAAACTGAAAAATAAAACTTCACGATATGAACGTGATATAAGGGGGGGGGTGAATAGGGGTATGCAAATCCACCGATTCCGCGTTATGATTTGATAACCAAATTCGTCAATCCCTTAAAAAAAAAAAATCGTTAAATCCGAATCCGTTTGCTACATGTCACGTGGAAAGGTGAAAAACGCACCTTGAACTGTTGTGTGTTAGCTAAACAATTTTTAAAAACGTTCTGATACTTTTTATAGGATCTTTAACTACTAACTAAAAGATCCACCTTTACATTAGAAATCTGTTGTTGATCCTAAATTGTCGTCCAAAACGTGTCGTGGCTCCTAATAGCAAAGTGGACCGTGTGACAAGTTCAGGAATGCTTGAATTTCCATCTTCTGATTCCTCGTCTTCGTCTGTACTTGAGTCGTACTCTTGGGACCTCCTCCACATTCTCGCGGTCACTTTCGCCTGTTTCAACTTCCTCTTCATTCTCGTTTACTTCAGAAGACTCCGAACCTTCAGACAAGGCCAAGTCGACTCTGTCTTCAGGTATCTGAAGCTGTCTCTGGTAAATCAATTCCGGCATCGTTCCATATCTAGCCATGGTTGTTTCCTGACGGTTTGTTCTTTGCCGAACGGCAGCTCTATACGTATACGTTAAGGCGTAATTACGCATTTCTTCCACTGCCTTTTCTAAGAGTTTTGCTACTGGGAGCTGTGGAATAGTGCGACGTGTAGCTAAGGGAATTTCATGTTCTGGGACAGGGTACCAGGAGCTCTTTTCACCGGTGTAATAATACACTGTCGAAGACGACAGCCGTTTAGTACTCTCTTTTATTGTATTTCCAAGGTCTCTGCAGTATTCCTTTTTTGATAGCAGCGGATGTTTGATGTGGCTGGTAGAGGGCAAGTGCTCAACGTCACGGGTTATGCGGCCTGGGAGGTTAGTGGCATCAAAAGAAAGAGAGGAAAACAGTGACCTCATTCTGCCCAATTCCCAGTGTAGCATATCGACCGACCTCACAGTTACAGCAGAAACCGTGCCTCGGGGTCCATTCTGTATCATCTTAGAGCATCCCGGTACAGAGGGAACTGACTTTTCATACTCAGCGAGTATTTGTTTGCATTCCTTGACCTTTTCTGTAGCCTCTGGTAAAGTTCTTGGTGGAGGAGATTGTCCTTTCTTAGGCACAGAATGTACAGAGAAAGCATCGTAAAGCTTGCTGACAGCCTGGATTCTAAAAGTCTTGCTGTTTCGGACGGAAAGAGGCGTGATTATTTCCAACGGAGTCAAAATCAACACCGTTGCTTGAACTCGGCTGGCATTCCAAGACGGGACCATCTTGACTTCCTTCAACTTTGGTTCCAGGAAATATCTGAACTCCTCCCTCCCCATCAAGAGACTTGCTTCTTCTTGATCTGTCAAAAGGATTCCTCTTTGAAATGGCGCAACGGTGCATCTTGCGTTTTACGGTGATTTGTAAAGGAGTTGGCTTCTACAGGAGGCGAGTTCTGTTAGAGTTATGCCTTGATTGTGTGAAACAAAAAACTCCTTGTTGTTCACGCAAAGGCTGACAACAGAATTCCAGTCGTCACCATAGCCAATGATGCGTTGGACATTTACTCGCACATAACCCATAACAGTCATACTTGAGCTGTGCACTATGTATTCTCTTGGAATGTGAGTCTGCTAGAAACTCAAGCCGCTCTCGGTCAACTAACGTGATCGCCTGAATGTGCGCTTCGATAGCCTTGTCCATGAAATTTACTTGGTGTTTGTCATGTCCAAGTGATGCATATTCTTCCTCTTTCCTCTTGAGAAATTTGCTTGCTTCTGTACGTACCTCTAACAGTGTTCCAGTGAATGGTAAGCCAAAGCGTTCTTTCAGAGTGTGAAAGCATTTAACTGATGTTATCATGCTTGAAATCAGGTACAGATCACTTACCAAATCACTTGCCAAATATACTCTGTGAAAAACTCCCAGGAAAACTGGACAATAACAGCGCCAAAGACCATGGTTTTCCCATCGAGCCAATCACAACCAGTACGATGCAGTGTCACAGATAAGAGCGCGAACACAGCAGACGTCAGACTGGCAACATGTCACAGCGTCGTGCTGGCCACGATGCGTTACTATTTCCCTATCTACTGCGAAGGATCGTGCATCATACGTATTTCCCTAATGTGTGACATGCAGTGAGTCTCGTCCGTGACAAAAAAATACACATACCCAGAAACAACGCATTTCTGACGATCGTTCAGATCCACGATCCAAACCTCCTCACAAGCAAATTCCAAAATCCGGACCCAAAAAATCGATGAAACCGCGAACTGCTGCAATTTCAGAATCCACAAATCCGTTAAAATTTCGCTCTGAATAATATACAAAAAATAAGGGAATAAACAGACCATAATTCTATAAACTAAGAGTAGTCCCCGCTATCCGGCGAAGTCCGTCGCACGGGTCAAAAAGTAAAAAAAGAAAGAAAAAAGGTGAAAATAACAGTTATGTTAGCACGCCAACAATCATCCCAAGAGCGCGCGTTAAATATGATAGATAGGCAACAAGTCCTGTAGGGCCGAGATGGGTATAATCATCTTGTATCCAACAAACGAAAGTGGAATAATTGTTTTATTAAAAACGTCCTTGCAAGTCAACCAACAGCTTCTGCCTACATAGTTTTCTCAACAGCTTTATTTTAAAACATGTTTTGCGATTGCTGTGAACATAACACCAGAGAGATTTACCAATGCCCTAATTAAAGGGTGAGGGGACCGCAGTGTATTGCGTTACACAAATCACAGCGTTACCACTGTAACTGACAATCATGCCGTAAATCTACTATCCTAAATAAAACTAACTGATTGCGAGTATTGTACGATAAATACATCAACTTGATTGTTGAACAAAGTACAGTTGAATTAGAGGAATGAGAGCGATCACTTGACCAATTAATACTCCACAGGGTGCAACTGCCTTAAGGCTAGGAAGTTTACATTTCAGCATCGTTTTCGACTGTGAAGATATGAATTTATTATCCAACTGTTCTTCGAAGATAATTTGGTTATATCAACTAATTTGAAATTGTAAATTGGCCACCGTAACGAATACGGTTGATATAACCCAAATTACCTTATTTGTTACCCCCACCGACGCAGCACCACAGTTTCTTTAAATACTTTATGGCTGAGTATTTTTACTCGTTCTTTGTATTTTGAATCGCACTTTCGGGCTTGTCAAAATACGGCACAACTCGTAAAAAATACATATATCTTATTAGACGTTTTGTTGTGTAGTATCGCTGAGTATTTTTACGAGTTGTGCCGTATTTTGACGAGCCCGTAGGGCGAGTCAAAATACAAATAACGAGTGAAAATACTCAGCGATACTACACAACAAAACGTGTAATAAGTTATTTATTATCCAACAAGCCAAACTGTTATCTCAGCGCGGGCGAATTTCGCGGATATTTATTTATGGGAAGTGCGTGACAGAAGTATGTTGTCATGTTGCTGTTTCTATTTTCTTCAATAAATGAAGAAATTTCCAGGTCGTCTAGCTGCTTTTCTTCGTTCGATTCATCTAATAAACTGGGAGGTATATTTTCCAGCCATTCTGACTCTTCGTCGTCGGAAATATGATTCAAATTGTCCGCCATTGTTTTTTTTTT